TCAGCTTCAGCTTCAGCTTCAGCTTCAACAGCAACAACAAGAACAATAATAAGAATATTAAGAAGAAGAGCCATGTGATCAATAGCGACAATAATAGCACTAACTGCAAAATACTGTAGATTTTAGGGAGCACTCCAGTTTGCAGTAGCATGGGTTTTTTCGTGAAATGTTCCCAACCTAGCTGGCGTTTGCCTGGCCTCCTCAGCAGAAAAGCGGCTGAGGTTTTCCTCGCGAGGGTGTACATATCGTCAAGGAAGGTCGTCAAATCTTGCAAGGTCCAGTCCCCACTGAGTTGGTGCAATCATGCGTACTCGTCGGTGGTACGGAGAGCGCGCTGAAGACTCTCTGCTGCACCGGAAACTTTGCACTGCATTACTGGGCTTTGGGAGACCAACCAACCTGAAAGGGACGATGGCCCTGACTTCAGTTCTATGATCTAGGGCCTGTCTAGGTGCCTTACTAACTATAGATGTCGGTAGTGGCCGGCCCACAGAAGAATCCTTGAAAAAACCGCGCCATTTTCAACCTTGCAAAGCACGGACTTCGACATCGAAAGCCTCTGCACCCTTGCGGCCCTTGCGTTATCCGAAAGAAGCCACAGGCCCCAGCTGTCGCTACAAAGTGCAATGACAAGCACTGGCACCCGTGCCCTGCAAGCACCCAAACCGAACAGCAGACACTGCGACCACTTCGGCCACCTTGAAACTCTCCAAGAAGCTCTGCTTGGCCCCAAGCACCTCCACTGCGAATGCAGGACGATTCGAAGGCTTCAGGCTCAGAATGAGCGCCCATGAAGTGTTGATTGAGGAGTCCGGGAAGAGGCTCAACCCCAAAGCCTGCGACAATCCGGCAGCCCCCAGCCCCATCCCTGTAGGGATCCGCCGATTACCTTTCCAACAACCTTCACGGTTGCGCTCTCTAGCCTCCTCTCTCAGCTGCTCTTCGTCCACGGTGAGATCTTGCAGCGAAGCATCCCCCTTCACTGTCACTCAGGATTCAGAGTGCACGGACCGGGGGGGTTTGACAGCTGGATGCACGCACGCACACCCACAAACACATACACACACAGAGTCACACAGAGAGACACAAACGCAGAAACAATTACACACGCCCGCACAGACGCAGACAAAGAAAGAAACAAACAAACACACGAAGAAAGAAAGACAGGACGAAAGAAACAAACCCACCCACCCACCCACCC